GTGGTATCCACATTCCCTTATATTACCTCTATAGCAATATAGCAAGGAAACAAAGCATGTTTTGCCTGCACTTGGTATTATTTTCCTTGGCAGCTTTTCTCAAGACAGAATCATAATGGATGAGAGAGTTGGAATATATTAGATTTCCTAGAGTATATTAAATTTTCTTTAGGTATATTGCTTTAATATCCTTTATATCCTCTAGACATAATTTCTTCTAGGTGTTTGCTCATGGACATTATTGTCAAAGATGACCTAGATAGTATTTGTAATTTTGTTTCATTTTACTAGGTTAGCCTATTAATTTGAGGTAACTAACGGAATATAAAGCCTTTAGGCTTTCCTTTGAGAAATATTATCTGTAAGGACATTCTCTTTGAGCATGATAATTTTGAACGCCAGGCAATGTGAGTTTTCCTTTATAGTTTTTGCAAACTTCTGAATGAAGGATAAATGAAAGGATGATAAAATGAACAGTTTACTTTCTTTAATCAGAGCTTCTACACTTTATCTCTACATTGTGTATCTACAAATTTAGAACACATGGGATGAAGGGAGGGCAGGGGTATGGGGAAAAAGTAAGAGCCAAGACATATCATGTAAAGGTACAAGATCCCAATGATAAATGTAACTAACTGTATTGTTTGCTTTAAATGTACCAATACATTTAATGGAGGTAAAAAACAAATGTAGAGCACACAAAGTTGTGGTCATAGTTTCTGAGGTTGGCAGAGGGTTAGATTTGCATTTAGAACTAGTGGGAAAGCTGGATCCCACTTGGGCATGGCTCTGTCAGTGTTCCCCTGTCTCTGTGTCTCTGTGTGTGGAGTTGTTTCCCTGGTGCTTGAAGCTCTGCCCTGTGTTCCCTGGAGTTGTGTCTCATATGATGGGCATACTGAAGCAACTGGGCACCTTTCCTTGGGCCTGAAGTGAGCTTCGCAGTGAGGCCCATGTGGGAATAGCATTTGCTGGCAGGATAGAACAGTGGAGAATCTCTGAAATAACATGGCTTTGTGTACCTTAAAACAGCGGAAGGCATGTTTGGCAATATCTCCAATGGAACATGCAGTGGTAATATAAATACAGTTTCAAGCATGCTTTTCAGTGTGTTATTTACCTGAGTTAATGTCTCCACTGGCAATCAAACCTTGATTGCTTTCTGTTCATTAGCTTTTGATTTAATTAATAAGACTTGTTAAAGAGGAATCTTCAGTGTTTTTCTGTAAACAGCTCTAATTTATTGATTCGATTTGAATTTTGTAATTATTTTAAGTTATTTAAATAACATGTTTTGAGCCTTCATAAAATATCTTAAATCTAAGGGGAAAAAATGAGAACCAAGACCTGTCATGTAAAGGTACAAGATCCCAATAATGAATGTAACTGTACTGTGTACCTAAAATGTACCAATAAACTCAATGAAAAAAAAAACAACCTTAAATCTATAAGATAATTATAAAATGCTGATTATGATTTTTATAGAGTAACAAATATTTCCTTGGATATCTTTAAGAACTGAATTTTATATGTAATATAAGTAGAACATTAGGAAATGAGTAATGTTATTTTTTTTCCAAAGGTGAAGCCAATTGCTTAATGTTTTTACTAGGCTTTAAGACTGAGGGCCTCAGCAGGTGGTAAGTATCCAGACATGTAGAGAAAAACTAATTAAGAGAGGGGAAATTCACAGTGACTCTCAGGTTAAAGAGCAATTTGATGATCAATATGACTCTTAATGGGAAACCAATGAAGCAGTTGGAGAGAGGGAGATACTGATTAGTGGTCTCTGCTCAGATTATTAAAGGATTGTGATTGTTGCAAAACATTTCTGTTGGATGTGTAAAGGTTAATTAACAACCCATTCTACAAATTCTAAAACTTCAAGGAAATGGAAACTTGTCTGTATTCACATGCAATAAAAACTACAGAAATTTTAATCTGAAAAAAAATGAAAGATGTTTAGAGCGTTATGAAATTTTGGCACTTGTAATTTGTTTTGGAAATAATTTTTATACTTTATTCTGGATTTATTTTGCATGTATGTGGAGAAAAATGTTGGTGTGTTAATGATATTCATTTGTTAAAGCATACTCTGAACTTGGAACGTTCTCGATATAGGGTATATAACAGTTAACAAAGCAGTACCTCCTTTACTTCTGGAACTTAATGTTTTAGTTTCATATGGTGTGATAAATAAAATGTCAGTGGCATCAAATACTGCAATTACCACAACCTATAAAAACATCTAGTACTTGGAGGTTTATTTTAATGGTGCATTCAGAATTAGAATTCTACCTATCTGGGTCCTGTTCTTTTATGCAGTTATAGAAAGTAAGTGTGAAAAAGTTTTCACCACAGAAACAGTGCAGATTAGTCTGTGAGAGGTACTTAAAGGGGTGCTGTGATTAATAACTTGCCCTCAAAGCATGCTAACCCAGTGAATGGCTGGGCTCCTTTCACTGTGGTATAGGCCAGTCATGTTTTTTGGCCAAAAATGTCCCCGTATCCCCACCTTTGCACAAAAAAGCTGGGGCTTCTCAAGGGAAATGGAGAGCTTTGTGGGAAAAAGTGTGTGTCTAAGTCTGTATGTGTTTGTGTGTGGGTGTGTGTGTGTGTTTTATGGAAGAGGGGAAAATATCTGTAAATGAGGGGAAAATTCCAAGCTGTTCTTGGAATCAGTTGCTGCCTCTTCAGGGAGCCAGGGATGAGCTCAACTGGGCTGAGAAAAATCTGTGCAGATGTCAGCACTGACTGTATTGCGGCCTCAAGCCCTGCCAGAGGCTTCCTCCTTCTGAAAGGACAAAGCAAAGAGCACAGGGTGCAGGCTCCAGCTGAACCAACATCACAGTGAAGTCTGCTGGCACCCGGTACCTTTAGCACAGACTGGACTAGCGAATCCAGCACTGTTCAGGAGAGCGAGTGCAGGGCAGAAGAGCAGCAGGCCTGTCCTCCTGGCTGACACAGGAGGAGAAAGCAGCACAGCTTCAGCCTCAAGGAGACAGCACATTGCATTCTGTAACCACGTCTTTGTCGCCTTCCTGTAGCCAGTAATAATGGATTCAAAAATTAGTTCAACGGAAAATGCGGCTGGAATTGGTGGACTGTGATAAATTCCTCGGCTCTTCAGTTTTTGTGGTGGCTTTTGAGCAAAAATGGATCAATTAGGGGTAGTTTTTAAAAAACATTCAAATTCTTTATTTCAGAAGACTGAGGCACTGGGTTCTCTGGGCCATATGAGCTCTCCTTTGTAGTTCTTTAACCTCTGAAGATCTTGCTTTGGTAGCAATTTAATTTACAACAGGAGGGCTGGAGGTATAGCCCAGGGTAGAGTGCTCAGTATGGGTGAGGGACCTGGGTAATCACCACCATGAAAATAAACTATTAAATTGCAACCAGAAACTGTTTTTGACTTATCAGCTTGGCAAAATCAAACATTGACTGAACATTAATAATATCCATCAAAATTACAGATGCATAATTTCTTGACTTTGCAGTTCTGCTTTTAGGAAGCTACCATACAGACATTTTATATGCATAAAATTACACATACAAGGGTATTCATTGCATCCCTATAGTAGTAAAAAATGGAGACTAAGCTAAACGTCTGTCAGAAGAGGAGTAGGATTAAGTGTGCCACATGAATTCAAGGGTGTTGTGGCCTTTCAAAAGTGAGAGGCAGTTTTCTGTGAATTCCTAAGGAGGGCACTAAAATGTGTTAAGTGACAAAAACAATACACAGTGCGTTCTATAATACATACTTATTATATGCTATCATTTGTGTATGCGTGTATGCATTGTGTGGAGCATATTATGCATGTGTGTGTATGCATTTCTGTGATAGGTACATATTTGAAAGTCTGTAGATCTGGAAGTGTATAAACAATGGTTAAGTGATGACCTCAGGGAACAGGAGTTGAGCGGCTGACTGAGGGTGTGGAAGGGAGATTTACCTTTTCACCAAATAACTTCTTGCACTTTTTGTATTTTTTATATGTGCTTTTAACAAAAGCTTTTAATTAACAAAAACAACAACAAAGTAGGCCTAGTGCAAGTGGAAAGTAGAATAGTCAAGGGGAAGGCTGATGTAGATAGTCATGTCTTTGATAGCTGATAGAATCCACTAGCTAAAAAGTTACCTCCGTGGTGAAATCTTGCTTTTAATTAGAGCTGACTCACATTTTTGATGTATCTGGAAGAACCATCTGCTTTGGTTAGGTCTGTGTAGTCTTGCAATAACTTTGTTTATGGTACAGTATAAAACACAACCAGGTCCCCTATAATTTCAGGGAAAATTCTACAAATTTCACTTTACAAAAAAAGTAGGAAAAATGTGGGAATGAATTGGAGAGAGACAGAGAAGGCAGGGGTGGGGAGTGCATGCAAGCAGATCAGCCAGAGCATGAGTGCTAAGTGTCAACTTTTTGTCCTTGGGGACTGAGTGACTTCATGTGAAGAATTACAATGAAGACATTTCAGCAAAAGAAAGGAGGCACTGTGAGAAACAAAGGAAAGAATTATTTTGACTCTTTGATTTTAGTTAATCTGAGAATAATTGTCAGATGTAATTTTGTTCAATACTAGTTTCATTTTGGAAGGAACAGAGTGAATCACAGAAAACCTCATTTAAATCTTGGCCTGTATAAATGTGAATATTTAAAATGTGGAGACAGGGTAGAGGGGGTGAAGGGAGGCCAGGGGAATGGGGAAAATATAACAATCAAGATATGTTGTGTAAAGGTGCAAGATCTCAGTGATGAATGTAACTGCACTGTGTATCTAAAAAGTACCAATAAAGAAAAAAATTTTTTAATTGTGGACATTTATGATGATATAGAATTCCCACCCTTACTGAAATCAGTCTTGGTGTGCTGATATAATTGGGTCACTATCATTTCCAGTGCAAAGTTACATAAAATAAAAATTCTAAGAAAGACAGTTAGGTCCATCATAGGTGCATGTTTTTGAGGATTCTCTTTCAGCTTCTCTTTTGTTTTCCGCAGAGTGAATGGGAAGTTGGTTGCCTTGAAAGTGATAAGGCTTCAGGAAGAAGAGGGTACGCCTTTCACAGCCATCAGGGAAGGTAGGCACCTTCCCTTGTTATCTTTACTTTTTTGTTCCTGTGATGCTCGTAGTTGTGTAAGTAACATCTCTGCATGTGCGAGTGTTAATATCAATTGTTTTATCTCCCATTGGAGCATGTAAGTTGAAATGAACAAATCAGGACCTTTTGCAATCCTATCAGGCCATGTTAAATAAGAAAAGACCATCCTGCTGTACGTTTTGGGAAAAATGCAGTACATTGATGGCAAGGTATCTAGGTCATCGAGGAGTTTGAAACATCTGAATATGTGTGAGGAGCTTCTAACATGTTACTAGTGTAATGTTATATTCCTAGTTTTTACGGGAAATGCTTAAAAATGAGGTGGGTCATGCGATCTTCTTAAGTCATTTGCATTTCTTCTTTCTTGATTTCTTTGTTCCTGTCATTTACTGTACTTTCTTTTGGCTTTCTTATTAATATATCATCTTTATGTATTTGGTTCATTTATGTTGTAATATTTTCCCTACTGTGGCATTTTACTAAAAGCTTTCATGATGTAGTTATTGTATATAAAATTTAAATTTTGTGAAATAAATTATCTTCTCTTTTGCTTTATGAATTTCTGCATAGAAAAGTTTCTCTCTTTGAAGAAAAAGAAAATGTCTTCTCTCATTGGTGGGAACTTTTCAGCTCAGTGTCATAGCTCCTACTTATTAGTAGTAGCTTTACCTGTACTACATTTTAAAAGTATAAATTACCTCAACCTAAGATCTGAGTTTATTTTTACATCGAAGGGATCACATCTACTGTTTCTCCTGATCCAAATAAAATAAATATCAGTGATTTACCAAAATAGCCTTAGCAAGGTGTTGATGACTAAATGTGCTCTCACGGTGGTCTGATCGGTTTCCCACCACCAACCTGATTTACTCCGGTGATCTGAGAGACATCATTCTGTTTCCACTTTCTGGTGTCTTATTCTCCAACACATGTCATTTTAGCTCGGTATCTTTCATTCCTGTTTAACTGTTTTCAGCTTCATCAGTCATCTCCTTTTCACCAAGTCAAAAATAGGCCCCTCTCTGTTCTGCTCTGTCCAAGCTTTCAGCAGACAGCACCTGGCTAAGACTTTGTCCTCTGGACATCAGATTTTTCAAGTTGGTAAGGTTTCCTGTTTATCTCGGGATGGCTCTTTCTCTAAATTTTCGAGTGTTTCAGGACAGGAAAGCGCCTTCTTTCCTCTGCTGACGTTCTTTTTTAGATTGATTTTATTCTTTTCATGAGATTACATGGCAGATGCGAGCTGCAAACATGCTTCTCCGTAGATGAGTGCTCGCCTCCACTCCTTTGTGTGTACCTCCTGCCTGTGTATCGTCGCCTCTTGAATCTAGTACGCGTGAAAGAATGACACATCGTACCAAGTGCAGCTCAGCGTGGGAATGCAAGGCTAGTTTAGTCCTTCCAAAATCAATTACTGTGTGACGTTTACCTCAGACTCCATTCGGACAGAACTATGGTCCCTGCACCGTACCCCAGAGGACTTCTTCCTGCATTAGGGAGAACATCCAGTGCCCCTTTCTCACATGTAGATCTTGAGCAAGTTCTCCTGGCTATGCCTCCACACGATACCTCAAAGCTGTCCTCAGGTGGCGCCAGTCTCCCCTCACCCTCTGCCTCAATCCAGGTGATCCTCACTTCCTCCTTGGACTCCAGCCACAGCTTCTCTTTTGCCCTCATTTCTGCCCTTGCACTCTGACGGTCTCTACTCTGGAGCTAGTATTATCTTCTTTAAAAACCTAACGCATATTATATCAGTCCCTTTAAAACTGTTTTAAATATTGCACGCCTGGTTTTTCTTCAGCCACGCCGCAGGGTCTCCTGTCGCAGAGATTTCACACATGTTCTTCCCCCTGGATACAATGTGCTTCCTTGACTCTTTTTATATTCCTGGTGTCAATTCAAATATCCTCTTTTCAGAGAGGTTTCCTTTGGCCCTCCTGTCTAAAATAGCAGTTAACCATTATATTACTTGTCTCTACTCGTTATACTATCACTTTATTTTTTTTTCCAGCTTTAATTGATTTTATTGGTACATTTTAGGGATACAGTACAGCTACATTCATTGTTGGGATCTTGTACCTCCACATGACAAGTCTTGATTCTCATTTTTTCCCCTTACCCCTGCCTTCCCTTCACTTTATTTATTTGCTTTATGGTTCTTGTTGGAATTTGACATAGTTTACACCTCTTCCTTTTCAAAAATAAGCTCAGTGAGATCCAGTATCTTATCTGGTTGTTCATGCTTATACCCTCATTGTCCAGTATGGTAATCACTCTATAATAACCATTGAGTGAATTACAGAAATCATTGACCTGGAGTCTATAAATGTGATGGAGTATTAGATACATTCTCAGCTCTCAAGGAATCTGCCTTCAGGTGGCAGATGAAAGCTTTATATAATAAATTGAGCCGTAATATATAGTGACATATCAGTGCCAAATCATGTCTGAAGTACTGTAAATTCTAAGGAAACTCCTTCATTGGTGAAGGGAGCTAAGGTATCAGCTCGATAAGCAGTGAAGAGAAGATGGGGAATTTGCATTCCAGACACGTAAAGAAAAGGAGCAGAGATCAGAAAGTACAGCGTCTGTGCCTTGAGCGGTGAATAGGAATGGATTAGATCAGGATTCTCCCATTACTGGTGGTACCAGGGTGGGATTGATTATTGGTAGAAGGTAGTTTTGTCATCAGAGTAATTGGAGAGTGCAACTGAAATTTAGTGGGTGGGAGCTGGACATCTGCAGTATTTACAAGACCCTGTAATGACACAGAGTGCTATTTTCTGTGGCTTGTTGCCTGCTTTTGTAAGTAACATTCTGTCTGAACACAGCCAATTCCATTTATTTATGTATTGCCTGAGGTTACTTCATTGGCCTGTGGACTTGTGGCGGGCTGTAAGTTCCCTAAACAGATAAAGTATGAATTATCTGATCCTTTGAAGGAAAAAAAATGTTGTTTCCTACTTTAATACAGTGAACAATTGTCTCATGTTTTACAAAGCTTTCAAATAAACTACTAGGCATTCATGGAAATTAAAAACCTGTTTCTATTTCTCTGAGTTTATAACCCTTGTTTCACATGTACTAAAAAATTATACTATGCACAGGTTTAATACAAATTTCCCAGAAACACATGTATAATATAAATCAAAGGAAAATCGAATTGTGTTTCACTGAGAACTTTACTATAATTTGTTCATATTTTGTAAAATCATATAACTAACGGTGATACTGGTTATGGTGTTGAAGTCACTAATGTGATACTCCTGGATCAGTCTGCATTTATAGTGGTTGTATTTATGCTGCTTCTCCATGTAGATATGACCACCTCTCTCCAATATGTTTTCCAATATAGTTGTCCCTACTTTTATATTTAAAGAGATTGTTGTATTATAAATTACTTTGTTTCTCTTTACTATTGCAGTTACATGCAGATCAATACATTGAAATTGTATATACAAGTATATGAAATTATGTGTGTGCACTTATATCTAAGAATTTCATTTCACTGTAGTAAAGCCAAAGTTTCATTGCACATTGAACACCTGTGTATAGATCTATTTTAGGTCAATGTAGATACATATTAATATGTTTGAAATTATATGTAAATATTTGAAATTACGAGTGTACATACATCTTATTACATATAAATTTTATTTTGTAGTAGTAAAGGCAAATAAAAGTACTATACTTTTGTATAAAGAGAGTGCTCAACTGGATGGGATTGAAGACCTTTGACTGAGATGGGGCAGTGGTTTCCTACTGATCTGTGAAAGAAGATAAGAGTGACAATAGGCCTGCACTAGATTCTAGTAGACTCTGAGTATGAGACGGTATGAGAGGGGCAAGACACACGGCCAGGGAGGCAACAAGGAAAATCAAACTGGCTATCAGACTGTGCTCCCTAGGACGTGAGGTGTACACTAGTATTACCAAAGCTAAACTTGCTGTTGGTGCAGGTCTGGGTTCAAAGTTAAGAGTGGGTTCATAGTGCTTTTGCAGGACTGTTGTGACAAATGGGTCCATTTGGATAAAGCAGGTAGGGTCAGGCTCTTCACACTGTCTGGCATGAGACAAGGATCTAGCACCTAGAAAGGTAGGTTCATGGCAACATGGGAGAGCTGAGAATACAGTAATCCTTGGCACACTGTGGGGTGGTTTTGTCTGGCAAGGTGATTTTATTCTAAGCCTTGAGACGAGCCAAGGTACTGTAACAAAGAACCACAAACTGTGCTGACAGTTATTGTCCCACAGTTCTAGAAACTAATGAGTCCAAGGCTGAGGTGTCATGACCACTGTCCTGTGAGGCCTGCAAAGGAAGACTTTGTTGCAGGCTTTTCTCTTTGGCCTGTAGGTGGATGTCTTCTCCCTCTGTCCTCACAAAGTCTTCGTTCTGTCCAGTCTTCTTTTTATAATTATGCCTCCTGTTGGATTGGGACCAACCCTTGAGGTCTCATTTTAATTTAATTACTTTGTAATGATTTTGTCTCCACTGTCTCTATACAGTCAGCTCCTGAAGTACTGGGGCTTAAACATATGAGTTTATAGGAGACATAGTTCAGCTAATACATAACTTTATAGCTTTGGGCCCCAGTAACCCTACCTTCAGAAAACAGGAGTTGGATTGTGTCATCTCCTAGGAACTCTCTACTTTGGCATTGTGATTTTGATTTCTCAAGGAGTCTTTGGAGAATTTTGAATAATCTGAAGACAGACTAGAAGAAGTATTGAAGGAGCAGTCACACAATGGCTTGTGTTTTCTTTTGAAAAAATATTTTTGAGATTTTTCCTAATAAAGTCACATTTTAATTGATTTCTGCTAGAGGTAAAATGACTTTAATGGTAGGAGGAGGAGCTCTGGATCAGTTTTGCCTATTTGTTCTCCCCTTTGCTGTCGTATTCCTGTCTTTCAGAGTCTTATTTTTCTGACATTTACATGCAACAGCAAAAGCTTTTACTGTTGCTGAGCCTTTCTGTCT